TGCTCAGGTCCCTTCTGACCCTAGAAACTATGAAACTGTAGGGTTAAAGTTGTAATGTTTTTGCCATACTTACATCTATAGGCTCTTGTGAAGGTTACCAGTTTCTCACTTAGTACTTTTTTATTTTTTTAAATGAATAGGAGAAATGGGTATGCATTTTCAGAAATGTGTCTCTTCTTTTTCTCAGACTGCACATCCAGTAGTCTGTTCAGCCCAGCAAACCACCACAGTCAACAGTTCGGTAACTGAAGACCAGTCTAAACAGGTTTTACCATTTTCCCTTTGTATTTAATTTTTCTGTCAGTGTTTTTTTTTAAACCATTCCAGAAAAGCACATTTTATACCTCGTTGATGATCTGTTTTATGTTTTCCTATAGAAATCTGTATGGACTGAACATAAATCACCTGATGGAAGAACTTATTATTATAATACTGAAACAAAGCAATCCACATGGGAGAAACCAGATGATCTTAAAACACCTGCTGAGGTAAATTAAGCTCAAGTGAAAGCTTTGGAATGGTTTACTGTGAGCTTGTATCTGGACAAAAACTTAACAGTGAAGCTATCCTGGTGCAAAGCAGTTGTTATAACAGCAACAATGATTGCCCTGGTATAGTTAGACTGGTACATTTTCCTGTGTAGATAACCATGTAGCATAAGCGGCATAATATGCCCACCATGTGACATGGATGAGAATTTTTTATTTCAGTATCTTGCATCTGACCACAGAAGACCCTAAAACTAATCCAACTGATTTTATAAATGCTAGAAAAGCTTTGCATTTATAATTGCATAAAGAGGTCTTTTTATAGCAAAAGATTTAAAGAAATTGTTTCAGAACTTCAAAAATCAGTGCTGTATAAAGTACAGATTTTTAGGGTCCTCTGCTTTTGGAATTAAAATGATATTGGGTTTGCTTGTTACTGTTCTTGAGAAATGTTTTTCATTGTATGTACTAACATTTAAGACTTTTTGTTGTAATGTTTATTTTAGGGATTGTTTTGTAGAAATCTTTTAGTGTTACAAAATTGATTTAATATGATTTTGATTTTTTTTCTGTGCATTTTTTCTGTGCATCAGCAATTATTATCTAAATGTCCTTGGAAAGAGTACAAATCTGATTCAGGAAAGCCTTACTACTATAATTCCCAAACAAAAGAGTCACGGTGGGCAAAACCTAAAGAACTTGAGGATCTTGAAGGTAACATTATGGCCACTGAAAATCTGTTAATTTTGAAAATGTTGTTTATATGTGAACTATTTGCACTGTCGTCTTACTGTTGAAGCAATTCTTATTAGAAACTGAGTGGAGTAAAATAAGTGAAGGAACTTGTTCAGTAAATAATTAGAAAGCAGAAAGAAATCTGTTCTTGTTTCAGCATTGGTAGTGTCATATATTAAATGCTTCACTGTTACAATGTCATCTGCAGTGTACTAAAACTACTAATAATGCGTGTTGTTTTAGTTGAATATAAACATTACCACTAGCTTTGCTTGGTGAACGATTTTGATAAAAATGAAACAAATCATAATATTTAACTAATTATTACTCATCGTTACTTTGCATGATCTAATGTTGGATAAAATTAATGCTGAAGTCAATACCATGCATCCAGAGATGCTTCTTTGTTTGAAAAATATTAGGTCACAAGAGGTAGAAATATAAATTTACATCACATTTGGATTTCCTTCTGACTATTTAAAAAAAGTAGCTTCTTACCTTGAACAGGTGACATGTACTGCTCTGTTTACTGATTGTGTAGGTACTATTTTACCTTGATATTGAAGGTAAAATAACTTCAGTCAAGAAATATATAGATTTTTTGTTTATTAAAGGAAGGTTAGATCACAGATGAGAAGTTTAAATATGTAAATTAAAGAAGAAACCATTGACTAGATAAAAACTAGATAGAAAAGATATGGGGTTTAGTCAAATTCTTTTCGTAATGTGTGTTAACCCCAATAGCTTTTAAAATTACCACAGAAGAGCAAGTAGGGGTTGCAAAAAACTGTTTGGTTGGAGTTCTTATGTTATGATTTGATTTTGCATCATTTAATTCTAATTGATTTTTTTTAAAGTTATTGAAGCATATTTAAAATAACGATCTACTTATACATCTGCCTTCTTAAAATATCAACAATAACTTTCCTAAACATAAGCAGCTTTTGAAAAAAAAATTGTTTTGAAATTATATATTTTTTTTCCTTATAGCAATGATTAAAGCAGAAGAAAACAGGTATGTTCACTTAAAAACTTGTCATCAGTACAAAATGTATAATGTGCCTTTCTATTTTTAAAAAGTATTTCCCTGATCCCCTAAAAAAAAAAAAAAAAAAAAAAAAAAAAAAAAAAAAAGTCTGCCTTCATTCTTGTTGTCTAGTTTTCATTTTATTCTTCAGCTGTATCATCTTAAAGTACTTCTGCTTTGAAGATTGTCCTTATAACTTTATTTTTTGTTCCTTATTACTTGTGGAAAAACATTTTGTAGGGTGGGTCTACTAACTGTGTATTTTAGAAACTTCCTTTAACTGAAATACTTTTCCCTGAAGCTTAATTGACATAATGATTATTTAATTGCTCTTTCTATTTCTCTTTTGACATACTCAGCAGCAAACCAGAAGAATCAACTCCAACTACATCTACAGCTGCTGTTGCAACAGAAGTAACCAATACAACAACCACCACCACCACTTCTGCAGCTGCTGAAACTGCTGTAGCTGCTACTGCAACTACTGCCACCCCTGCTGCAACAGCTGCCTCAGAAAGTGAAACTGCTTCTACTACTAGTTCTGCAGCTGCTACTGGTAGTGTTACTGCAACTGCTGCAGAAAATGAAAGTACAGGTACAGCTACAGCTGATGAACAAGTGCAGCAAACCAATGCTACTCCCGTTGTACAGGAACAGAATGCAGAAACTGTCACAAACACAGTAGAGGAAGGTTTTAAGCAGGAGGGTTCAGCAGAGTAAGTAAAATCCTGTGACTTGGGTTGGCTGCAGTTGTCTAACACTTTCTTAAGTGTTCAGAATTCCAGAAGGGAGACAAGGTTCTAAACTCTAGAGTTTCTCTTGGCATTTTTTCTGAGACAAAAAGGGGGTGGGGAAGTGAATGAGACTTTGCAAAGAGAAATGAGTAAGAAATGAAGAGTGCAGAAAAGGTGCTCAGTCCTTTAAAAAAAAAAAAACAAAAACAACCAATTCCCTTTAAATCTTTAACTAGTCCTTCATCTCATTACAAATTTAATAGGAAATTCTTATGACTCAGTTTATTTTAAAGAAATCTGAAATGTTTTGAGAGATGCTGGATAAATGTTTAAAGTACAGAACTGTTCACACTGTCAATGTGGAAAAATTACTAAACTTCTTACTGACCTGAGTGCAGTTTAAACAGGCAGTACTTCTGAAACGCCTACATTCTTGTGTATAATAAGAAAAAATGTTTCGGCTAAACAGTCCAAATAAATCAGAACAGCTATAAAGGTGTATATGATCTCTTCTCTAGAGAGACAAACTATACACACTTTGCCTTTCATCGCTGAAAGCTTGAGAACTTGTTGCAACTGGGAGGTCAGGAGACTGACTGGGTTAATAGTAAGTGGCAAAGGCAAGATCCCTTCATAGGCAATGCCTTACCTCTTTCTCCCACTTTAAATGGAAAGGCAAGGAACTAGAACAGGTTGTTGATCGTAGCAGCATCTTGTCATTCTAAAGAGAAAGGTACTTTTAAAGTTGTTCTGTAATGAAATCCTTAACTTGGATCTGGGGCTTGGGGTTTTGACAAGTGTGTATTTTATTTCCGACTGATAAGCACTTTATATAAATGGAGTTTATTGTTAAAATTATGAATGCTGTTTCTCAGCAATGTTCTCTTGATTGTTTATTTTTAAAATTAATGGTAATTCATAGAATCATAGAATCAATGAGTCAGAAGGGACCCAGACAGATCATCAAGTCTGACCCCCTGCCATAGGCAAGAATGAGCGCTGGGGGGGAAGGGGTCATAAGACCCCAGCCAGGTGCCTATGCAGTCAATTATAGGTGCCTATAACTGTTTGTTAAACTGCTAAATTATGTATTTACTTGTCTAATTATTCTCTTTATCAATTCTTATTTATAGTGCTACTCCCAAAAAAGAGGAGGACGATGCCCAGCCAGTTAAAAAAACATATACGTGGAATACAAAAGAAGAAGCGAAACAAGCATTTAAAGAGCTTTTGAAAGAAAAGGTTTTTAAATTGGGTCAACTTACCTTAACTTCTAGAATTACTACAAAATGTGCTTTCTTGAGTGCTATTTCTTCTCTCTTGTTTTCCAAAAGAAAATCTCAGTATTAAAAAGCTGACTTTTAGATTTGAAGGAAATAAAAAACTGTCATAGAAAGAGTATACTTAAGTCTTTTATTAGAGATGTTTGTGTTTTAATTAGGGCTTTCTCAGTTCAGTTTTTCTTTTTGTTTCTCCTCTTCCACCCACAGCAACTATAACCCAAGTAAAAATTCCAGTTGTTGTCCAAGAAATTATGATTGATTTGGTTACCATGTGAAGCTGTTGCTTTGGTGACAGGGCTCTAAAAATCCAGCCCTACAAAAGTAAAAACTCTTTTAACAACAGATATTTGAACAGGTTCCTGGAGTGTATGAGGAGGGGAGTGGACCTAACACCTTAAAATCTATCTCCTTTTTTCTTCTGTTTCTCAGATTGTTAAAGAAAATTCCATTTAAAGACAAAATTTTCCCTTAAAATTCATCCTTAGGAAGTCATAATCTTACTGTTACAGACAACTGCATAGCTGAAATTTTATAATGATTTAATCATATTATTACTTCTCTGCAGCATCAAAAGTATTTTAACTTAAGTCTCTTTGATTTGCTCTCTGAATTCCTCACCATTAAAAAGACAAGTGGGCTGGAAGAAAAATGAGTCAATACTGGATTTTTCTTTCCATATAGCTTGGTTGTTAAGAGTTCCTCTAGAATATTTTTCACTGTAGTGTGAGGCAGGAGTTACTTGAAGAAGAATCAAAGGATAAAAATAGTGATAAGCCTAAAACCTGAAATTTGTTTTTCTGTTGACTGATGTTATGACAACATCACTTTAATATTACTAATAAAGTTATTAAAGGGAAGTATTATATTTCTCTACAACTCTTCTAGTCAAGTCAGGGAAAAGTCTGTTGGAGGGATCTCACCTCCCAGATTGAATATTTCTGAGGAAACAAACATACAATGTTGATGCCAAATCTGTAGTCACATTATTGATTTAATGTCTTCACAGCGTGTACCCTCCAATGCCTCCTGGGAACAAGCTATGAAAATGATCATTAATGATCCAAGATACAGGTACTTCCTACTTACTGCTGAATTGCTTACAAACATATGCTCTATTTTGATCCTTGAATTTACATTGTAGTTCTTTATGAACAAATTATGGTTGAACGAAATACAGATGTTTGTATGCTAAGCCAGTTGCCTCTTTGTACACATTCAAAAGTAGGTAATGTCTTGGGACCTACATGAAGGTGACTAATGGAATGATTCATGATCTTGGACCCAAAATTTAATGAATGTTATGCCAGCATTAGCAGCACGACTATAATTAAATGGTCTACATATGTTTTGAAAATCTGTCCTGAAATGGACTTCTGTTTTTAATGGAGATGCTGAGAATTCTGTGGGACCTATTAAATATTGAACACACTTGATACTTTTTATGTATATGGAGTGTCCCAGTGTTTTCTGATGATAGTGCCTCTTTACAAGACTGTTTTGTAGGGGTGCACCCCCCACCACAAGATGTTGCTCCGGCCCTGCCACGTCCCTCACTGCAGGGGATGTTGATCTGTGTCCCTCCCGTTTCCTTTCACCACACTGGACTTACCAGCTGGAGGCAGCTCTCCACATTGCTGGCTGCACAGTATGGGCACTTCTCAGCCAAATTATTGGCCCCATTGGGCCATTATCCAATACAGACAGTTTTTTCTTTATATTGATACCAGTCTGATATGTGACCAATGTATTGGTGCACCTCTACTATTTTATTCTTTATCTCGCAATGCTATTTTTTCTAATGCAGTTTATTGAAATGAAAGCTGGTACAGTAATATAAATATTGGTTTTGTGCTTTTCCATAGAATTAAGTTCATTTTACCACCCTTCATTATTAAAATTTGTCTTGTGTTCTGAAGGTATGCTAATATGAGACTTGCATTCTTTCTTTTCTAATTTGATTCCAGTTTTGTGTAAATAAGCATCTGGTTTGTTTTTCCCTTCACATTTAGTGCTTTGGCAAAGTTGAGTGAAAAAAAGCAAGCCTTTAATGCTTACAAGGTTCAGACAGAAAAGGAAGAAAAAGAAGAAGCCAGATCAAAATACAAAGAAGCTAAAGAATCTTTCCAGCGTTTTCTTGAAAACCATGACAAGATGACATCTACAACAAGATATAAGTAAGAGCAACTTAATGTATAAAACCAGTGCATTTGTTTTTCAAATTCAACCTTTAAATCTGGTTGGCTACGTAGCTGGTGAATATTAACTTTTGGGTAATGTTCAGTCTGATAAATCTTGGGACTACAAGCATAAATTTTATCCTCTTTGTAAAGTAGATTGAAGCCATGGACAAAATATTAGAACTGATTATTATTGGATCTCAACTAACTAGGAGTGAAGGAAACTGAAACACTTTTAAGTTATTTTTACATGCTTCAGTATTATGCATAATAGACATGTGTGCTGGTTCTGATCTTGCTGCCTCTTGACTGTGGAGTGGCATTATAAGCGAGCTGACTTTTCTCAATCTTTTTTTTTTCCCCTTCTTCCCTTCCCCTTCTGAGCTCTGTGTTTAATTTTTAATATGTCTTTTATTTTATTATTGTTACCCATATGAGTTTCTTTTGGAGCATATAAAATATCAAAGTAACTTTACCGCATTTATTCAAATACAAGACAAGGTTATTTCCTCCCCTTCCCACCAAATTAGCATGGGGGCAAAGGCCCATTGTCTTACATTTGCATGCAAGGAAACCATGTTAGATACATTATCTATCTTTGAACTAAAAGGCAGAATGTGCCCAGTAATGGAAACCAACTGTGAAGTTGATTTAAATGCAGAAAATACTGAGCATGATTCCAAAATATGTGCCTCCCTGGGCAAACAAGCAATGGGAACCTACCACAAGAGTAGTACTGTCCATCTGAGTAAGACAGATAGATAGATAAGCCCATTAACCACAGTCTCCCTCAGCTCCAACTCTTCTTTTAAGTCATGGTGAGCCACTACCACTATATTGAATATATTTCAACTTTCTCTTCACTCCCATTTTTGAAATGTTTGGGAGTTTTGGAGCCGGGCTTTCAGGGAATAAAAACCTAAGAGGAAGGAGAAAGTGGGAGAAGGACTGCTCTGATATTGACATCTAGCTCTTTGATCACTTCCCACAGCTCTTCCTGGGGTGCACGGGCCCCTGATCTGCGTGTGGGGTTTCAGCAGGCTGCTGCTGCAGGCCTAGGGATGGGGAATTGAACTGGGGGCTGGAGAATCCCTGCCGCATGACCTGGCTCCGCAGGGAACAGAGATCCATGCCGGGGTCTCCTCCCTGCTGCTGCCCGTCCTGTTCAGCCCGGGATTTCTGCTCCCTGCAGAGCCAGGTCACGCAGCAGGGACCAGCAGGCTTGCTCGCAATTCTGTGCTGCTTCCTTGGCCTATGACCCACCATGACAGGGATCAGAGAGCTGTGCAGGCGTTTCCTCACCTGCACGGAGGGCAGCAGCCCTCTCCATCCACTGGACAAGTCACCCATGGCCCCGTCCTGCTCCCTGTTGGGGGCCCCAAGCCCTGCCCAGCTGGGTGGGGCTGTGTGAAGCTTCCCTTGCAGCCCGTTTAAACCAGATTCACAGGCGATTCGGCTGAAACAAAACAGGACAGTGATATGAAATGCCAACGTGAATTGCTGTCCTCTGAAATGGCTAAATCCGAAGCCAAATCAAAACACAGCCCTAGTTTTCCTTACTGTCACTTGCATCCCACAGTGTATTGTGGTTTCATATCATTCTCATGAACTCTTTCCTATAAAAAACATTATTTATGCTATTGGAATCTATATTTTTTTTATATTCTTGTTCACTCTCCACGTAAGTAACAAAAACTAATAAGAATTTTTTTTGTAGTAATGTGCATCAGTTGACCCAAGAGATGCACCTAACAAATTTTGTATCTGTAATCTGTACACTAGAAAAGTAGTTGATTGTGATCCAGATCACTTATATTTGTAGTCAGTCAAAGTGATGGTTAAATTGGTGTTTGACAAAATGATTATATGTTACTTCATATTTCCTTTAACTAAACAGAAAAGCTGAACAAATGTTTGGAGAGATGGAGGTCTGGAATGCAATATCAGAGCGTGATCGTCTTGAAATTTATGAAGACGTGTTGTTCTTTTTATCTAAGAAAGAGAAGGTAACTTTTTTTTCTTTGTTATTTTTTGAGCTCGATCTGAAAGAAAACCGATTTAAACTTGCTCTAGAAAGTAAAGAATTTGTAAGTGATTTTGTGTTTGTTTTGAATTAGTAAAACTTAAAAAATCCCACTTACTATTGCCCTTTCTCATTGAAGTAGCTCTGGTGATTGTAGGATTATTAATGTCTTGTTTCACTAAGAAAATCCTACTCAGCCTTTTAATGTGGATATAACTTAATTTATAAATTAGTTTCTGTTCCAAAGTACTTTTAACTAATGTTGATCTGAACAACGTATTGAAACAAATCTTGGGCCAGGTCCTTAATTGGTATAAATTGTCATATTTCCTTTGACTTCAAGCAGAACTATGATTTAACCAAATGAAGATCTGGCCCTGTGTATAATAGGGATCATTTGTTAACCTCTGGACTATAGGAGCTGCTCAATTTTGTGTAGTAACATTACACAATATTTTTCCAGCTAGTGTGAAACAGTGAATCTAAGGTATGTTGGGATATGTAGGAAGGTATGTTTCAAGACAAAAGTAATGGACGACTTCAAAGTTTCTGCATTTTCTAATGGTTGTTAGATGATTTATTATTTGTAAACACTAGAACCAGCGTTTTAGATCTACTAGGCAAAACAGCTCCTTCAACATCTGAGTAGGCCATAATAAAACACCTGCGCTGTGCTGATGCTATCTTAAAAATGAACAGTTACTCATTGGTAATACTTGATTAAGGTTTTATGGAATTGACCAGAAAGATGAGACAAGATCAATAAAAGATTACATGACTGTGGATTCAACCAGTCAGTTTATTTAATAAACTAAAATTAGATTTTTTTATGCAACTATGTCTAGAATGCTGTCATGTTCTTTGGATATAGTTTGGCTTTTGTTCTTGCATGATACAGTATTAAGAAAAATTGATAAAAATTCGATTTTTTTTGCCCTTGACTGTTGTTTCTCTTTTTAGGAACAAGCCAAGCAGTTGCGAAAAAGGAATTGGGAGGCTCTAAAAAACATACTGGATAACATGGCTAATGTAACTTATTGTACCACTTGGTCAGAGGCTCAGCAGTATCTGATGGACAACCCTACATTTGCAGAAGATGAGGAACTTCAGAGTAAGAAAATAATGTTCAGAAATCTCTTCAAGAAGAGGGCATGAAACTGGTTTAATGTTAATGATTCCAGATAGTTAAACATGGTTTGTCTTGCCCAGGTCAGCGGCAGCTAATTAGAACAGCTGCTAAGCAACCTTGTAAAACGATCTGCTCTGTTCAGCCCTTAGCTCCACAAGAGGAAGGGAGGTATATTCAAGCCACAACACCTCATTGGGCTACTGTAGTTAAAATGCACAATTTTCTTAACTAATGGTACAGAAGGAAGTGATGCTAGCACTCTGGTCATCTTTGATTCCACAGCCCAAACGATGCTGATCCTTTTAGAGCTGGATCAGCCAGGGATGGCCTTTGACATCAGTCCAGGACAGGGCTTAAACTCTTGCTTTCAGAGCCATAGTGAGATGTCATAACCATTTTGCCACCACACCCCTTAGCTTTAGAAAAAAATATTGATAATCTTCTTTATAATCTTAATAGTGAGGCAAGCAATTGCCTTGTCATGGAGACTGAATCGCCCTTGTGCCAGCTAGGCTCTGGGATTTGGAGCAATGTTTTACAGTGAGTATCAAGTGCAGCAGCCACTTTCTGTCCCTCACCCCCATAAAGACCCTCAAATGTCTATCATGCCTATCAAGAAGGTGTGGTCTGTGCCTCAGCTCTCAAACTCTAGCGTAGACAGAATTTAAAGTTAGAAAGGAACTCATTCTCTCTGATAGAAGCACACCTTGGTTCCCTACAAAGACCGACTTGGTTCGTGTTGTCCAAGAACAGAGCATGACTCCATGAATTTGACACGTGCCTCCTGTACTTTTTCCCATAGCTACTACATAAGTTTGGGCATGGGGGGAGGGGGTAACACAAGGGCCCTTCTTCCCACCTACAAACTTCTTTAGAGAAGTTTCCTTTTCCTTGACTAGGATTCAGTAGTGTGAGACCTATTTTACTGCACTGTTTTTATTCTCCTTATTTACTGCTATTGAGTAATGTCCTTTACCATTATAAAATTAATTATGACTGAGGAGAGGAGCTGCAAATAGAAATAGTCAAGTAAGAAATATTTTGATTTCAAACTCCCTGTGTGATTTCTAGATATGGATAAAGAAGACGCCCTCATCTGTTTTGAAGAACACATCAGGGCTCTGGAGAAAGAGGAGGAAGAAGAAAAACAAAAGAGTTTGCTGAGGGAAAGGCGCCGACAGCGTAAAAATAGAGAATCTTTTCAGGTGGATAAAAATCTTTTAATTTGGGAAGCTAACAGGTTCAGATATTTTGGACACTTTAAAGCTGTCTTAGAATGTGGTCACTACATATCCTAGATGATCAATAGTATGCTAATAAGCAGAAGGTAAATGAGAATACCTTGGCTATGATTCTCGTAAATAATTTGACCTTTTGTTGATACTAAGAGCATAGTTACACTTCTGCGTGCAGAAGAGGCACTGGACAGGAAGAATGCATGAGCAAGGTCAATTATTTAATCTCAGGCTTCAGAACCAGTATTATATTTTTGTTTTAAAAACTGGTTTAAACTTTTGGCTGTGATGTGATTCTTTCGTAGAATCACAGAAAGGGTTGGAAGGGACCTCAGGAGATCATCTAGTCCAACTCCCTGCTCAAAGGAGGGCCAGCCCAAACTAGATGATCCCAGCCAAAGCTTTGTCTAGCTGGGTTTTGAAAGTCTTCAAGGATGGAGCTTCTACCACTTCTCTTGGTAAACTGTTCCAGTGTTTTACTACTCTCCTAGCAGGAAAATTCTTCCTAATATCTAACCTAAATTTTCTCTGCGGCATCTTGAGACCGTAGCTCCTTGTTCTGTCACCTGCCACCACTGAGAATAGTTTAGCTCCATCCTCTTTTGAATCCCGCTTCAGGTAATTGAAGGCTGCTGTTAAATCCCTCCACCCTCCCCTAGCCTCCTCACCATTTTTGTTGTCCTCTGCTGGACTCTCCAATTTGTCCACATCCTTTCTGTAGTGGAGTGCCCAACACTGAACACAGTACTCCAGATGTGGCTTCACCAGTGCAGAATAGAGGGAAGAATCACTTCCCTTGACCTAGTGGCAGCACACCTACTAATGCAGACCAGTATGCTGTTAGCCTTCTTGGCAACAAGAGCACACTGCTGGCACATATTCAGCTTATTGTCCTCTGTAAACCCCCCATTCCTCTTCTGCAGAGCTGCTTCCCAGCCAGTCAGCCCCCAGCATGGGTGTCTGGTGCCTCTTGAGTCAGCAACCGGGGGGGTCCCCCAGTGGCTGATCCTGCTGGCCACAGCAGCACCAATCTTACTCACCGTAAAAGCAGCCATGCTGCTTCCGGAGCTCCACAGCTGCTTTTGCTGGCAGCCCAGCTCCCCGGCCAGCACTGGCAGGGGGGGCACTGGTGCTTCCGCCTGCCCCCCTGCCTGCCAGCTAAACAGGGAGCACAGCCTAGCAGGGGGTGCACGTCCACCCCCTACGCATCGCCTCTGGCTCCCAGCCTGTACTTGTGTGTAGGATTGTGCTGTCGTAAGTGCAGGACTTTGTGCTTGTCCTTGTTGAACCTCATGAGATTCCTTTTGGCCCAATCCTCCAATTTGCTTAAGTCGCTCTGAATCCTAACGCTACCCTCCAGTGTATCTACTACACCCCCCAGCTTGGTGTCATCTGCAAACTTGCTGAGGGTGCACTCCATACAGTCTTCCAGGTTATCAATGAAAATATTGAACAAAACCGGCCCCAAGACCGACCCCTAGGGCACCTCACTTGATACCTGCTGCCAACTACACATCGAATTATTGATTACTACTCTCTGACCCTGATGCTCCAGCCAGTTTTTCTGTCCACCTTACAGTCCATTCATCCAGCCCATACTTCCTTAGCTTGCCTGCGAGAATGCTGTGGGAGACCATATTAAGAGCCTTGATAAAATCAAGGTACACTGCATCTGCCAGTCTCCCTGCATCTACAGAGCCAGTCACTTCATCTTAGAAGGCAGTCAGTTTGGTCAGGCATGACTTGCCCCTGGTGAATCCATGCTGACTTCCTAACCACCTTTGTCTCCTCCAAGTGCTTAAAAATGGGTTCCTTGAGGATCTGCTCCGTGCTTTTTCCAGGGACTGAGGTGAGGCTAACTGGTCTGTAGTTCCTTGGGTCCTCCTTGTTCCCTTTCTTAAATATGGGCACTGTTTGCTCTTTTCCAGTCATCTGGGATCTCTTCTGATCGCCATAAGTTTTCAAGGATAATAGCCAATGGCTCTGCAGTCACATCAGCCAATTTCCTCAGGATGCTCAGGTGCATCCCATCCCGCCCCATAGACCTGTACGCGCCCAGGTTTTCTAAGTAATCCCTAACCTGTTCTTTCACCGCTGAGGGCTGCTCACTTCCTTCCCAAACTGTACTGCCTGTTCCAGTAATGTGGGAGCTGACCTCACTTGTGAAGAGGAGGAAAAAAAGGGCATTGAGTACTTCAGCCTTTTCTGCATCCTCTGTCACAAGGTTGTTTCCCCACTTACCTCAGGGCTTTGGTCTCCATCCCCTGGCAAACCTAGTTTAAAGCCCTCCTCACTAGGTTAGCAAGCCTGTCTGTGAAGACTCTCTTCCCTCTCTTCATCAGGTGGATCCCAGCTCTTCCTAGCAATCCTTATAACAACATCCTGTGTTAGAAGAAGCCAAGCCCTGTGGCAACACCACCTGCACAGCCAGGTGTTAATCTGCAGGATGCACCTGTTCCTGCTTGGGCCCTTTCATTTGACCAAAAGGATTGATAAGAACACAACCTGAGCCCCAGAGCCATATAGTCACTGTTGATACACTCAGGGTCTCCCCTGGCAGTATCATTGGTGCCCACATGGATGAGCAGCATGGGGTAGTAGAGGGCCAAATGAGCCTCAGTAATCTGTCTATGGCATCTTGGATCCAGGGTCTAGGCAAGCAGCAGACCTCCCAAGACAACAGGTCAGGTCGGCAGATGGCTCCCTCTGTCCCCTGCAGAAGGGAGTCTTCAACCACCACCACCTATTTATTTTTGGTGGTGGTCCCACCTTGTTGAGGCCTAGCCTGTCTTCTTCCACCAATGGAACGTGTTCTTACTTCTCTGCTGCTAGGGCTGCATATCTGTTCTCCAGATGAATGACTGCAGGTGGAGGTGAAGATCTTGCCTTGCTGCCAAGAAGTCAAAAGCCTCCAGCTTCCACCCTCTTGTGTGTCCATGTCCTCTCTGTTCTCTAGTGTTTCATCTGGCATTTCTTCCTCCACAATCCCAGAGGTCTCCTCCACCATCAAATCCATGAATGCCTAATGGCAGAGGACGCTTTGGAGCCTTGCCACCTCCTCCTTTAGTTCGCTTGCCAGTTCCCTGGGAGACACCACCAGGAGGCACCACTCATACCCCAGGCGCTCCCTGACCTGGCTGTCACTGAAAGGAACCTGCAAGCTGCAGTCCCCACAGCATGAAACTTGGACCTGGGTGGAAGTGTCTATGGTGAGTGGTCCTACCTGGACAAAAACTTCACGGGTGCAAGCAGACGCCCTCCAGCCATTTCCCTGGGTTTCTTAATTTGCCTTCTCTCTTACTGCTCTTCTTCCAAACAGACCTTCCCTAGCGAGGCCACCTGGAACTGGCCTGTTTATTTCTCGGTGGCCACAAAGGGTTCCCATTTTTTCCCCCACTTCCTCATGCCAAGCAGAAAGGCTTATCCCTCAATTTAAAAAAAAAAAAAAAAAGGTCAGGGAACACCATAAACTGGCCTCAGAACTGACCGGTGAACTGCCTGCAAACTGATTACAGCTGCTGGTCGCTGGCTTCATTTCCCTGGGGAGTCTCCTTTTATGCCCTGCTGGGCCTGGACTAGCTCTTCTCCCTTGTTAGGGTTTCTGTCAGGCCCAGTCAGTAATCACTCTCAGCTTCTCAGAGCACCCAAATGCACACGGCTCAGCAAACCAGAGGCACAGGCAGCTGGATCACTTACCTTCCCTGGGCAGGATCTGGTGCCTGCTTTCTCTTCTGTAATCATGTTATTTAGCCTAGATGCATTGCTTAACTTTCCCAACTCGATCCATCACTTTGGTTGTTTAATACACCTAAAAGTTAATCAAGGACAATTGGTGGGCCTTTTGCATGAGTTAAATTACTTTAATAAAATGTGTCCGCAAGATTATGCTTTACTGTTGCAAGTTCCTATTGATGGACAACCTTTTTTTTGTCCTATGAAACACCACACCCAGCAAAGATGCCTGTTAGTAAAGGTGATTGCTGTTGAGACTATAATTTAATTTCCAATTCAAAATGAGCTAAGCTTAATTTGTTTCTGTAGTAAGCACAACCTTCTGCTTATATGAGGTCTTAAGGTTTACTGTGGACTTCATAGTTAGTAGGGTCAGAACGGACCTGAGCAGATCATCAAGTCTGACCCCCTGCCATAGCAGGAAAGAGTACTGGGGTCGAAACTGATGCCATAAAGTTGAAATGGTGTCAATTTATAAACATTGTAGGTGCAAACCTTGGCAACTCGAAATGTTGCAAGTTGAGGACTGCCTGTATAGAAATTTATGTCTTGTGTGGCGGGTGCAGAGATCCCACCTCAGGAACACAGCTGGGTATTCGTATCCCTCCGCTGTTTCCACCACGTGAGGCGGGCCAGTAGGGGGTGCTCCTGCATCAAGCCACCCACCTCCCTGCGCCCGACCACCTTCCAGGCTCTGAATGCCCCCCTAGGGGCGCCTTATGTCTGGCCGACCCCTCTCCCGGAGCACACTCGCTAGTCTGGGGGTACCGTGCTGCCACCACCCCAAGAATGGACTGTCTTGCGGCCCTGTGTCCTTGGGGTAACACAGGTCTAAAGTACCACAGGTACTCGACCCAATACAGGCACTTGGGGTACTTCCCCAAGTCCGGGGGCAAAAAGGAAAGTCTCCCTTAGTCCGCAGACCTAAAGGGTCTCTTAGGCATAATTTAGACCCACCCCTCAATAAGTCTCCCACACCAGTCAAAAAGGAGAACTTTATTGATTACAGGGGGTAGGGCAAACTAGGGTACAGGATAAAGCAA